GACAATGTCCTGGCTGCCCTGTAAAGGTGCGGTGGTGCCTCTGCCCGCAAATAGTGGCAAGGTCAAAGTGCAGGGTGCTGTTTTCCTCCTCTTCCCTCTAGTCCCCAGTTCTTGAAGCAAAGAGGCGAGAGTGGATCAGACCTTGAGGATGATCGCTCAGGTCTGGGCCTTTGGCTGTTTCCTCATGGGGTGCTTGTCTGAGCATGAGTCTGACCCTATCACAGGTCTGCCCCGTGCTCTGCTATGCTGCTTTCCTGTCTGGTGTGTCCCCTACTGTGGGGACAGAAGCAGTTGGCTGTGGTGCTGTTGACGGTCGTGGCAAAGGGAGCTTGCCCCAGGATGCTCCATGTCCCGGGGAATCCTCAAGGCTGTTGTGGTTCCTCCTGTGTGCCTGGATTTGGGGTGAGGAGGTGAGAGCTGACGGACCGGCCTGGAGGGGGCTGGGATGGGGCAAGACTGACTCCTGACTGCTCATCGCAGTGATGAGCCTACTGAATCGTTAAACCGTTGCCACTGATCTGAGGTTTTCTTTAAAAGGGGTGATGTTACAAATTAATTAGCTCCCTTTTGGTTGTTAGCACTTTAAAGCCTGGCTGTCAGGGGAGGGCTGGTTTATAAGCATTACATCAGGGCTGCCGGCTGGCTCGCTCGCCTACCTGGGAATTTCTAAGTGTGCGTTGTAACCCGGGGAAGTTTGGCTTGGATGCAGCATCTGCCTTTCAGCAAAGCTGCGGTGATGTGCTCTCTGGAGCACAGGGGTTTGGCTGGCGCTGAACGGTGCTGCCAGGGGCGTGCGGAGATCCGGCAGCACAGCCCCTCGGTGTGCAGCTCCTGGTGACTTGCTGGGCTGACCTGCAGGTGTGCAGGGGATGCTCCGAGGAGTTCCTTGTTTAATCGAGAGGACAAGCAGCTTTTCTGAAGCAAAAGGGGCTTTTTCTGGTGCCTGGAAATTCGAGCTGGGTAGAGATGCCCTGGGAGAGCTGCGTGGCTGGCCGGCTGCCGGTGCAGGCGAGGGCTGGATGTGCTGAGCAGGAGGGGAGCAGCTTCTCCGTCCTCCTGTCCCAGCGCAGGAGGGTGTCAGGGAGCCGAGCTCCTGCCTTCACCTTCCCCCGCCCGCCGGGCCTTTTCCGCCCGCCCGGCAGCAGGAGCATGGCGGCATGGGGCGGGCTGGCCAGCAACGCCCGGGCCGACGGAGCTGCCAGCCCGGTGGGCCGGGAGCGGTGGCGGGCTGGCGGCAGCGGGCACAGCAGCAGGTAAAGGTGCCACCTCGGAGCCGCGGTGCCCGTCGCAGCGGGGTGAAGCGGCGCGGCTGGTACCGGGGCCGGGAAGGTCTCGGCCGGGCCAGGCCGCTCCCCGGACGAGGCCCCGTTGCCAAGGGCCCCCCTTCTCCGTGGAAACCGTTGCTAGGACACCGCCTCCCCGGTGCGGGGGGGGGGGGTGGGGGGGGGGGGGGCCCGGCGCTGCCCCGCGTGGCGGCCCGGCTCCGCGCCTCCAAGATGGCTGCGGAGCGTGACACGCCTGGTCACGTGGGGCGCGCGCGCGCGCCGCGCCTTCCCCCCCCCCCAACCCTCTCCCCCCCCCCCCCCCCGCCAGCCGCGCGCGCCCCCGAGGCCTCCCCGAGTGTTGTGACTCGGTCCGGTGCGTCCCGCCGCCGGTTCTTAAAGGGGCAGGCACACCCCCGTGCACACCTCCCCCCCCCCGCCCCGGGCCCGGCGGCGACTGCCCCGGCCAACCGCGGCTGCTCCGCAGCCCCGTGCCGCGGAAAACAAAAGAGGCACCGGAAACAGCGGCGGCGGGGAGGGGGCCGGCCCGGCGGGGGGCGGGAGGCGGGAGGGAGGGAGGGAGGGAGGGCCGGCGGCGGGCGGGCGGGCGGGGGGGCAGGCCCGGGCCCGGCGTCGGCGAACAAAGAGCGGCGGGAGGGGGCGGGGGCGCCGCAGCGACACCGGAGCGGCGGCCCAGGCCATCGGTGCAGGTAGGTGCGGGGAGGGGGGGGGAGGCTGGGGCGGGGTGGGGCCGGCCGCTCCCCCCCGCCCCCCCCCTCCGGACCCCCGGCGGTACCTGCCCCGGGCGGCGGCGGCGGGGCCCGGCGGCCGCCTTTGTTATTGCTTTTGTTTGGCGCCGAGCACATGGCCCCGGAGCGGCCGCTCTTAAAGCCACAGCTCCGCGCCCGGCACCGGCACCGGCGGGGCTCCGCTGCTGCGGCGGAGGGCGCGGGCTGCCGGCCGGGCGGTGCACCCGTGTGTGTGTGTGTGTGTGTGCAGGCTGGGGTGCTGCAAGGCGGGGTGTCCCGCCGGGGTGCTCCAGGATATGCCGCTCGCCCCGCTGTGTCCGCCGTCCCGGTGATCCCGGGGGCCGCGCTCTGATTTGGAGTCGGCGGGGCGGCCTTCCGAAAAGGGGCTGCCGGTGCGGCAGGGCCAGCCGTAACCCCCCGCTCCCGGGGGGGAGTTGGCGGGCGTTCGCGTGGGAACGACGGGGAGCGGGTTGCAGCGTGGCGGGGGTGAGGGGGAGCTCGGTGTGCTGGGACGGAGCCGGCAGCGGGTGGCACCGGGGTGGCGGGACCCCCGGGGAGGCGGTGGCGGGGCGGGCGGCTCCCCCGGCAGCCCCGGAGCCCGGCTCTGCCCGAGCAGATGGCACCGGGCGTGAGCGCTGGCGCGCTGCTAACTTTGTTCTCGGCGGGGCCCGGGAGCCGCCTCTCCCTCCGCCTTACCGAGGGGCTGCGGGGCCGGGGGTCGCCTTTGCACCGGGGCTGCGGTGGCCTCCGCGGGGTCACGGTGACCCTGCCCGGCTGAGGGGCGGGGGAGGGAGCCGGGTGTGCCCTCCTGGGACAGGAGGATGGGTGCCTTGGGGGGGTGCTGGTTGTGGGAGGGTGGGGGGCCGTGCCAGCCCCGTGCCCCTTGGCTGCCCCCATCCCAGTGAGTCGGGGATGTCCTTGGGGTGCCGTCCTGGGAGCCCTGGGGGTCCCGGGAACAAGCCAGCCCCTGCATGGCTTCAGTGTCCCTCTGCGGAGGCGCTCCCTGTCCCCAAGCCCATCGCTGCTGTGTCTGGTCTGGAAGGTGCCCGCCGGGTCACCAAGGACCTTTTGTACCATGTGTGCTGGGAGCGGGGGTGTGGAGCTGGAAGCGGTGACACCTCAGGGAGGCTCCTGGGGAGCGGGGTTAAACCTGGGCCACCACTGCGTCCTGGCCACCAGCCCACTGGAGGGGCACCCAGCACCTGGGCAGAGCGCCGGGGGCGGCATAAAACACCCACGGGGCAAACCCCCATCCTTGAGCGTGGCCCTTTCCCTGTCGGTAGCTGCAGACAGGCTCCTGGTGGACTCAGCCTGTGTCTTTTGGGTTTTTTAGTTTTGTGGTTTTTTTGTTTTTTTTTTTTTTTTTTTTTTCCCCCCAAACCAAAGAAAATTGCTTTCAGCTTCCCAAATGGTATGATAGCTGGGGGTGAGGGGAAAAAGAGACCCGTGCGTGGCACAGGGCTCGCCCAGGTGACTTCCTGCCGTGGTTTGCGATGCCTGTCACCCAGGCATGACATTGCAGCTTCTCCCAGCTGGGGTGAGACCCCCCCAACACCCCCCTACCCCAAGGCTCCTCCTGGGGCTGAGCAGCACTTCCCGGGCTCGGGGTGCCCTCGCTGGCCCCAACATGCCTCTGCCAGGGGCACTGAGGAGGAGGAGGTAGGGCTGAAGAAGGAGCTGCTTTGGGAGGAGGGCACACCACCAGCCTGCAGGCAAGCTGGATTTAGGGGCCCGTGGGGTGCAGTACCCAGGCCGTGGCAGCTCCCACTTGCTGGCCGTGGCTGTGGAGGCCGAGGGCGGCTGGCAGGGGGGGTCTGCTGGGCAGGGAGGGGGGCGGGTTGGACATGAGGGGAGCCAAGGGGAAGCGCTTTTGGGGCTGGGGGAACTGGAGCCTGGGGAGGTGCAACCCTACATGCAGATGTCTCCTCTGTGCAGTGCCAAGCTTCAGTGGGGCTGGGAGGGCCGAAATGTGGGGCAGGAGGGGGGCTCTGGCATGGGGACACCAGCCAGGCTGGGTGCAGGGAGGCGGCGGGGTGGGTGATGGGGCAGGGCCTGGGGCCGTGTTCCCATTGACCCCCCTTCCTGTGGGGGAGCAGAGCTGCGGGCTCAGCTTCAGCCGCAGCCCATTCCTGACCCCCCCACACTCCATGGGGACATGTGTCTGTGCCCCGTGTGCGACAGGGAGTTGACATGCACAGGCTGAGCCAGAGAAGGGCTGTGAGCCCTGCTGTCCCCGCTTCCAGCCCCCTGTGCCTGTCGCTGGGGCGGCAGTGTCAGTCCAGAGTAGGACGAGCAGGAGCCCAGCAAGAGAGAGCAGCCCCTAGAGCAGACCTGGAGCTGTCTTGGCGAAGGACACGCTGGAAACCCCCCCACACCACAGTTCAGGCTCCCCGTCAGCCGGCGAGCAGCCTGGGACGCTGCCGCAGCCCACAGGGCCCTTTGCTGCTTGCTTTTCTCTGTGCCAAAAACAAGTGCTTCTCTCTCATTCAGTGTCCGTGTCTTGCATGGGGGGGTGGCTCTGGCCACACAGTGGAAGGACAGTAACTGGGGGGTGGGGTGGGTGGGCTCTTTCTAGTTTCCCCCTTACCCCCCTCAGGTCTACGTCCAGCCCCAGGTGATAGGGTGGGCACAGGTCTAGTCCCGGAGCGGCAAGAGCTCCAGCCATTGGCATTTTCATCCCTGCAGGGAGGGAGCAGCAGGCTGAGCCGTGCTGGGACAGTGGTGCTGGGGTGGCTCAGAGTCACCAGGGTGGGTGGCTGGGCTCCCAGCGTGGAGGGGATGTGGGCAGGAGCCAGGTGAACTGCAGCCCTTCCCTGCAGTATGTCTGCGGGCGCAGTGGTTGCCCCAGCCTCGCCTCGTCTCTCCTCCCTTCCTGCTCCCACAGCAGGCAGTGGGAGAGCGGGCTGGGGTGGTGCTGGGGCGTGGGGAGGCTTTGGGGCTGGTGCAGCCCTGGGGATTGGGGTGCCGTGACCTGCTGTCCTTCTCGCAGGATCCAAGGTGCTGGTGTCTCACCCTGCCTGGAACCTGAGGTCCCGTGTGCCCATCCGCCTCCCGACGTCACCAATGCGACCATGGGAACTGGCAGTGAATAGGCGGCCACCCTCTGCCCCTTTCAACCAGCGCCGTTTCTCGGGGGGACCCTGCAGCAGCCCCGACCACCTCCGGCGAAGGTATGGGGTGCAGGGCGGTGCAGAGCCCTGTTGCTCATGGTGTGTGGGGACATGGGGCCAGTTCCGTGGGCCTGCTGGGGCAAGGCACTGACTCCTGGGGGGGGTTTGTGGGGAGATGATAGCGCAGGGAAGCATGTCCACCTGGCCTGGCTGATGGGTCCCTGGGGAGTCAGGGGCCCCTTTTGTGCTGAGGACAGTGGTGGGGAGGGGGCACATGGAGGGTAAGCAGAGGAACCGGCTCTGGAGTTCCCCAGCCAGCCAGGGAGCCTGGGCTGGCACCGACTTGTCTGCAGCCACCCTGCCTGGGGGTCACTCCTGCTCTGTTTCTCTCCTGCCGTGGCCCCGCAGCCCCCCTGCCAGGCGTCAGTGGGGACGACGCGACCGACCTCTGGCAACCCTGCTGGGCCAGGATGAGCCCCAGCTGCACCCTGCCTTCCCCCAGCAGCCGCACATCCCTGTAGATGAGCCCCGCTCCTACGCTCTCCCCAGCACGCCGCCACGAATGCTTCACCCAGCCGCTCACCCGCCCCACCAGAACCCATTCATGGTGGATCTGCATGACCAGGTAGGTGCTGCAGCCCCCAGCCCCAGTCCTAAGAGTGACCCTATGGTGGCCCCGGCCTGATGTCTGGGGCAGCGGTCCCAAGACATGTCCCTGGGTCCCCTCTGTCCAGTCGCTTGCTGCTGGGACCACCCAGCCCTGATTCTGCCAGTGCTGTTGTCGTCTGAGCACTGAACCCCTGGGGTCCCCCTGCCAGCTTGCGTGTGCCCGGGGTGGTCCCTGCTCCCAGGGGCTAGGGACAGTCCCCTCATAGGGTTGTTCGTGCCACAGCTGTCACCATCGTCCCTGGTGGCGGTGCTGGGTTGGAGGCCATGCTAGCCTGTCCATGGGGAGCAAAGAGGGATCCAGACCCCACCTCCAACCCAGCCTGCACTCAGGCTCCCTACTCTGGCCACACCAGTGGAACAGAGGTGGTTGTGTCCCAGTGCCGGGTGCTCAGTGCCCTGCTGCCACCCTGCCGGGATGGGGACAGCTCAGCCAGGGCTGTACCCTGACCGTGCCCTCGGCGCCTTGTCCTTAGGTGCACCAGGGACCTGTCCCTCTCTCCTACACGGTTACCACCGTCACGACACAAGGCTTCCCCATCCACGCCGGCCAGCACATCCCTGGGTGCAGCACCCAGCAGCTCCCAGCATGCTCAGTGATGTTCAGCGGACAGCACTACCCGCTCTGCTGCCTCCCGCCCCCGGTGAGTCACAGCGGGGGGACACCCACAGGGGACACCTGGGGACAGACGGGGCCGTGGATGCCTGGAGGTCGCGTGGATACCCAAGCCCACCAGAGTGCAAGTTTCTTGGGGGCATAGGGTCTGTTGGAGGCCCAGGGAAGGGGGCAGGGGTGGGTGTCTGACTCGTTTCTCTCTTTCCCCCACAGCTGATCCAGGCATGCGCGATGCAACAGCTCCCCGTCTCCTACCAGACATTCCCCCCCATCATCTCCAGCGACCATTACATCCTGCACCCGCCCCCGCCGCCAGTGCCCCCCCACCAGCCGCCCCACATGGCCCCCCTGGGGCAGTTTGTACCTCTCCAAGCCCAGCACCCACGCATGGTGAGTTGGGGTGGGGGTACAGGTTGGGGACACAACATAGCCCAAAGAAGGTCACCATGAGGTCTTGTCCTTCTGCAGCCCCTGTGGGTCTGAGCTGGGGTTGATAGGTGGGATGCCCAGGGCGCCTCTGTCCTGCTAGCGTTAGGGGGTTGTAATATGGGATTGCCTCTCCCAGCCTAACTGTTTCCCCCGCAGCCTCTGCAGAGGATAGACAATGACGTGGACCTGCGAGGGGAGCAGCACCCCATTGCGGGCTTCACGTACCCCCCGTCCCACCATGCTCCCACGCTGTCCCCCTCCGTGCCGTTGCATTACCTCCCCCATGACCCGCTGCACCAAGAACTGCCATTTGGCGTGGTGAGTTCCCGTACTGTGGAGGGGTGGGGGGGTGCCACGGGGCAGGCCTGGCTCTGACGCCCCGTCTCTCCCTGCAGCCATACCCCCACATGATGCCCCGGAGGCTGAACACCCAGCGGTACCGGCTGCAGCAGGCGCTGCCCCCGCCGCCGCCCCCTCCGCCACCCCCTCCGTACTACCCAAGCTTCCTGCCCTATTTCCTGTGAGTACTGGCGAGGGGACGTGATGATGATGGGATGCAGGGAGCAGGGGTGGCACTGCAGACGGGGGACAGGGACGGCAGGGTGCCAGGGGGGAGTTTGGGGTTTCAGGCCCCACGCTGACCGCCCTGTCCTTCCCACCCACCAGCTCTATGCTTCCTGTGTCGCCGACGGCCGTGGGGCCCACGATCAGCCTAGACCTGGACGTGGATGATGTAGAGATGGAGAATTACGAGGTGCGTCAGCTCTGCTTGCCTGTGGGGTGATGGGGAGGGGGGAGCCGGGGAGGGGTTTTGGGGGATCTCTCTGCTAAGGTGGGGAGAGCCTGGAAGGGTGTGCTGTGCCGGGGCGTGAGCCGAGCTGAGCCGGCATTTGTGTCTCCCTCCAGGCGCTGCTGAACCTGGCCGAGCGGCTGGGGGAGGCCAAGCCACGGGGACTCACCAAAGCAGACATCGAGCACCTCCCATCCTACCGCTTCAACCCTGAGAGCCACCAGTCTGAGCAGACCCTGTGAGTGAGCCCAGAGCGTGGATGGGGGGCACACGGGGGGTGCCAGGGGCCGTGACCGCGCCGTGGTGGGACCTTGCTAACAGCTGCCTCCCCCAGGTGCGTCGTGTGCTTCAGCGACTTTGAGGCCCGGCAGCTTCTTCGCGTCCTGCCCTGCAACCACGAGTTCCACGCCAAGTGTGTCGACAAATGGTTAAAGGTACTTCCCGTGCCTGTGCCTGCTGCAGGGAGCAGGGCGGCTTCCTGGGGTGCTGCGGGTGCGGGGCGCTGCCTTCGGGGTGGCCTCGGCGCCACGCAACACGGGATGCGCTGGGAGCCGGGGCCAAGCACCGTGCTGGGCTGGTTCGGGTGCTCCTGGGATGTGGCACGCTGCGGGGTGCTTCCAGCCCGTGGTGGAGGGGTGCAGCTGGGTGCCCACTCACTTGCCTTTGCTTCTCTTTGCCCGTAGGCGAATCGCACGTGCCCCATCTGCCGGGCGGACGCGTCGGAGGTGCAGCGGGAGGCGGACTGAGGCTGGCGGGCGCTGTGCCGCACAATTCGCTAGAGGACGAGGACGCCGGGCCAGGGGCGGGGGCTGCTGCCCGCTGCTAGGGCCTGACCCTGCGCTTACCCCCCCTCCCCAAAGCCTCTCCTCGGATGTGGTGAGCATTGAGCAGTCCGGGCTCCCGGCCAGCCCTCCTCCTCCCCGCCAGGGCACGGACTCGGCCAGACGCCTGCCCGCTGCGCTCCCAGGGCCCCGAATCATGTTGTGCTGGAGGCGGGAGGCGCGTGGCCGTGCCCTCCGCGCTCCAAAGACGCTGTTGTTGCTCCATCACTTTCCAGGTCTTTGTACTCTGCTAGGGAATTAGTGTTTGTTCCCTTTGTCACTTTTTTTTTTTTTTTTTTTTTTTTTTTTTCATGGTAGGTTTTTCCCCCCACCCCACCTCCCCGTTTCCTTTTCCGTCGCGTTTTTTGGTTCCGTGGCCATTTGACTCAGTGGCGCGCAGGCGGCTCCTCCCCTCGGCGTTGCTCATGGAGGATGCGGGGAGGAGAGAGGAGGGAGCGCTGCAGGTTTGATGCCGGCGGCACCCCGAGCCGGAGCGCCGGGCCGGCCCCGGGGGCAGCCGGAGGAGGTGGCCGGTGGAGCGCGGCCAAGGTGGGACACCAGCAACCCCGCGGCGTGGCTGGGACAGGAACGCCTCTGTCCCCGCTCCCGCACGCAGCCCGGCACGGCCCCTCTCCTGCCTCGGCTGCCCTGGGGAGCCCCGGAGGGTTATGGCTGCTTGGGGTCTTTTCCCGGTGGGAGGATGGTGCTGGTGCAGCCCCAGCCGCTCTCCCCGTTCGTTCCCCTATGCCCAGCCGCTGCAGCTCCCGGGGCCGGGCCGTGCGGTGTCCCACGGGGCAGCCAGACCTGGGGCGGGTGGGGGTGACGGACGGACGCCCCATCCCTGTCCCCGTGGGAGTGCGGTGTCCCCCCGGCGTGCTGCACGGCTCCAGCTGTCGTTTCTCCATCCCGCTGCCGTAAATCAAAAATCGCTCCGCGTCCCTGTCCTGCTGGCTGGGCGGCACGACGCGGTGCCCCTGGCCGGTGGGCAGCAGTGGGGGGGGGGGGAGGCCGGCCGGGCTGCAGCGGGTGCCCCCCGGCCCCCAGAGCGGGGTGGGGAGGGGGGGATTTTATCCATAACCTTGTGGTGTATTTTCAGTGCTACCCCTGCCCCGGCTGGCGTGGGGGGAGCTGTGAGCAGCCCCCCTGCCGCTGTATCCCCCTCCTTGCCTGCGCAGGGCCGGGGTGGGGGGGGGGGGGAGAAGCCGCCGCCGGGCTCCGGCAATCCCGCGTGGCCATTGTTTTGCATGATTAATTAGCGAGGAGGGTAACGGGAGGGTGGCGGCGAGAGGACCGCCGTCCCCTCGCGGCGCGCGTTGCCGACGCCTGGGAGCCTCCGAGCGGACGCCAGCCCTATGTAAATGTTCACAAATATGCATGCATGTCTGACCAGCTTGGAACGTGGTCTTGGCTACGTCTAGCCGGCTGTGGGGTGAGGGGGGGTGGGGAGAGGGGTTTTTGTGCTCAGCTGATACTGCCATGCACTGTACTGCACATGTCCGCAACGCCACAGCAGGACCGTGAGACTTTCAGGGCCGTCCCCCCTCCGCGGGGTCTGCGCCCCCTCCAAGCGGGAGGTGGTGGTATGTTGGGGGGGGGGGGGGGGGTCGCCCGCGGCGGTGGCATGTGCGAGGGGGGACTGGGTGGGGGGGGGCTGCTCCCTGCGGGGCGGGGGGCAGGTGGCGGGGCTGGCCCCTGGCAGCGGCCCTGGCCGCCATGCTGGGGCTGGCTTCGAGGCGAGGGCGCCACGCCCGGCAGGTGGGTGGGCGGGGTGGCACGCCTTGCGCTGCCACGCCATAGGTCCAGAGGGGTGGTGCCAATCACTTGGGTGGCTGAGGTAGGCCTGCTCCCGATTGGCTGGGGGAGGGGGGGGTGTTGGGTGGGGGTGGGCTGCGCACTGCCTCTGCCAACCAGCAGGCCTCTCCCAGCATGCTGGTGGGCGGGCCCTGGTCTCCCCTCAGCCAGTCAGGCGCGGGGGGGCAGCGAGTGGCATGTCGCGATTGGCTGGCTCCCCCTTGCCTCCTTTTCCCGGCCTCGCGGTGCGAAGCGTCGAGGCCGAGGGCCCCGGCCCGGCGCCACTGGCTCCACTGTGGCGCGGGCGCCGGCACCGCTGGGCTCGGTGCCCCTTGGGCAGGACCCCGGCCCCCTCCCTGTCCCTCGCTCAGTGACAGATAACCAAAGGAGTCCCTGTGCTGCGCGGCGGCGGCGGCCTCGCGCCCCCGGAGACACCCCCCCACCCCCTCCCCTCCCGCCCTTGCGGTGCCCAGGGAGCCAGGAAAGCCTTACGGTCCTTTGACGGCGACTCGAAAGCTCACAGCTCGTGTGCTGCAGAATTTATTCCAATGAGCAGCTAAAAGTATCATTTAAAAAAAAAAATAACAAAAAGAAAAAATTACAAAAAAAATACTAAAAAACAATTATTTAGGGTGTTTGTGATTGCTGACTGCGCTGTAGATACCACTGTTTACCAATGATTTCCTGTGGTGGGATAGTGGACTGTTTACTGTTCTATTATACCAGTCCCCGGGCCCTCCAGTGGGACCCCCGCGGCTCCCCGGAAGGTGCTAGGACGTGTGTTCTGTGTTAGAAAGTTTTTATATATATATATATATATATAAATATATATATATAATTTTTTTTGCTCTGTTACTTGCACATTTTACAGTTACCTCATTTTTCCCATGTATGTATTTGAAAAAAGGCTAATATATAGAAAAGAAAGGTTCTTAAAGCTCTAAAAGTGTTTGTTTTTTTTCCATTCCATTGGAATCATATTGGTTTTGTAGCATTTAACATAACTAGTATGTTGTATTATATATATGTGTATTATACTGATTGAAATTTTTAACAGATTTGTACTTTTTTTAAAATGAAAGTTGCTAGTTCTGCTTGACCAAGTAGTGCAATCATTATTTTTTTTAATGTTGTGGCTGATTTTGAGAGGGATATTCACTAATAAATGTATGATGTATACCAGCGCGCTGTGCCCCGGCTCTTGTCTCAGTGCGGGCAGGTGGGGGCTTGAGGGTGACTGAGGCCGGGCTAACGCTCGGCTCAGGGGTGAGGGGGGGGAAGGAGGGTGCAGCTGCAGGACAAGCCCCAGAGAAGGGGCTTGGAGACCAGGAGAGCCCAAGGGTGGAAGCAAGAGGTGCCTCTGCCTGGGGGGATGCCTGGGGGGATGCCTGGGCCAGCACAGCTTCCCAGGGGGCTCTGGCGATCCCCGGGGGCAGCCTCCACCTCTTACAGGAACATGCCCGCCCAGGGGAGAGGGGGCCATCCCTGCCCTCCCCGGGGTGGGTGGGAGACCAGCCTGGCCACAGAGGACCTCACAGCCCCGGGCTGGGCATTCCAAGCTCAGAGCAGAGACAGGCACCGGGCCTGTGGAAGGAGAGGAGCTCCAGCACCCTGAGGCTAGGAGCAAGGTTGGTGCTCCGCAAGCCACACTGCTCCAGGAGGCTCCGTGGCCAGAAAGGGAACAGCTCTTCCTCTGGGAGGAAAAGGATCTCCTCTCCCTGTTGAGTAAGCCCTAGAGCTGCTGGGAAAGGCAGCTGGTTTACTATAGCTTGCAAGCCCCAGAAAGGGCGGAGGGATCTCCCTGCTCCCTTTAGTGCTTCATGCCCGCAGGTGAGCACAGGTACCTGTCCAAAACAGGCACCCAGCTCACAGAAGGGTGGGTAAGGAACAGGCTTCTACCCCTCTCACTTTGGGCAGGAGCACCGCTCCACAGCCCTGACCAAGCCTCTGGGGATCAGGAAAGAGAGGCTCACACCCCCCTTCTCCCCACTTCACGTCTATTTTCCACCTTGATGCAGGAAGGGTGCCCCAGCCCTCTAAGCAAAGGAAAGGCTCCTGCCCCAGGCAGGCAGCACAGCAGCAACCCCAGCACTGCCTGACCTGTGGTGTGAACGCTGTGCCTTACACCAGTGGCTCCACTGGCCCCAAATGACCAATTCAAGACCAGAAGGTAAGCGTACCCACCCTGCTGTGAGTAGTAACTTACTATAGCAGCAGAGGAGCTGGAACCCCCTCCCCGGTGCTTGGCTGGGGCAGGGGGCACAGGCAGAAAGCATTGGCACAGACATGCTAGAGGCAGAGTTTATTACACTACGCAGGCTAAGAACCCTGGGCAAGACCCCACACGGGTAAGAATTGAACCAGCTCTTTATCAAAAAGTTAATACTATAGTCAACCCCCTTCTCCTTTGGTCATTACAAAGCAAGAGAAATATTAAAAGAAAGATATTTATACACAGAGGGAAGCTGAAGAGATTCTGTTCAGCCCCACCCCCCCACTCCCAGCACATTCAGGTGCCTGGTCTTCTGGCTGGCAGGAGCAGCAGAGTATCAAATCTTCACAAGATACCAGGTTGTTGGGGTTTTATTATTATTGTTGTCAATAAAAGCAATAGTTACTGAGAGCTGCCATTCCTGTTCCTCCCCAGGGAGGGCGGAGGGGCAACACCAGCTCCCCTCCCTCTCTGCCCTCTTAAGTGTAGGGGATGGCTGTGTACACGGGTGTGTGAGGACGTGCCCACACTTCCTCTCGCCAGTGCACACACACAGCACAGCTGGCACAGGCGATGTGGTCTCTGATCCCTCGTTTGTATGCAGTCTTTTAAAAAAAATATTGTATTATAATAATAATATGAATTTCTCTTTCCATTTTGTGTCTTCTGGAAAAGTGTCAATCGTCCGTGAGGTCCTGCACAAAGAGGACTTCCGTGTGGCTGAGTCCGGCCTCCTGCAGCGTGGGTGGGTTGGGCCACTCCTCTGTAGGGAGGCAGGGCAGGACACGGCGAGGGAAGTTGGCCTCAATCTGAAACTTTTCAGGACTTTCTTTCAAGGAGAACAAGAAGTCATGGATCACCTGGGGAAGAAGCACAGGAATAAGCTGGGAGAGCAATGACACAGCCAGACTGTATCCATGGCATCTCACAGTGGGGGAAGGTTACCAAACTTGCACCATCACTGCATTGTAGATGCAAGACAGCCATTTTCTTAGCATTTGCATGAAACTGGATTTGTCACCGAGTACCTAGGGAGTCCAGACAGCGTTTCTGGCTCTTCTTACACCATTATGTAATAGGGAGCAACAAAAAAATCTCAGCTTTTCAGAAGAAAACAGCTTCTTCCATTTTTTTCTTTTAATCTCTCTTCTAAGCTGGTGGGACCAGGTCCCATGACACCCTCCTTACCCAGGAACAACTACCTATTGAGGCTCTACAGCAAAGGCCACCATTTGGCAGTCCAATGGAACCAAAGCTTTACTGAGCCACCTGGAGAATCTCCTGACCTTCTTTCACTCTGGGAAAACCCATCAGCTCTGCCCCAAGCTCACCGTCAATGACTGTGTGAAGTGAAATCGTCGCTCCACTCGGGAATCGTTAGGCAGCTTGAAAATGATCTTAACGCTCTCCGGGTCATCGGGATGTGGTTCGGGAGGAAGGCATTCGGACTTCCGCTCCTTCTCCTCCTGCAGAGTCTGCAAGCAAAGTAAGGAGGCAGCAGATGACCTTTATGCTTGTCCCTTGCAGCACAGCTGCTCCAGGAGGCCTGGAGGACACTCAAGCCCCGAGCAAGACAAGCAGCTCCAACCTGACAAGAAAGCCCTGCTGCAGGCACTGCCCCTACACAGCGTGAGCATCCAACAGGGCACAGCAGCCTCTCCAGCAGTCAGCTTGCTCTCACCTGTCGCCGCCTCTCCTCTGCTAGTTTTTGCTGCTGCACTTCCTCCTCCTTCTTCTTCTTCCTCTCCCATTCCTCCTTCTTCTTGCGCTCCTTTTCCTGGTCCGCACGCAAGGATGCCAGGTATGCCTCATCCTGCTGCTGCCTCAGAACTTGGGTTTGGTTTCTCTCCTCCCTGCAAACAGGAGCAGGGAGCGGTCAGACTTGGCAGGCCCCAAGGCAAAGGCACAGCAGGCCGATGGCAGACCTGAGGGTGCAGGTACAGCCTCAAAGAAGCGCACACACCAGGTAATGCCTCATTTAGAATACCATGAGCTCCTAAAATGCAAGCCATCTCCACAGTCCCTAGCACACAAACTGTTTCCCTAGCTTGAGTGGAAGTGAACTGAACACAAAAGATTTCTCACCCACTGCAGCTTGACCGAGCACATAAGCAGTGCCCAGGATTTCTGCCTCATACTTGAGGTTCCTCATGGTTTTATCTCCTTCGGGTAATTCCTTGTGCATTTCAGAAACCAGATGTATCAAAATGTGTTACTGGGTCCCCCACAGAGACCATGGGGCAGACGAAGGGCAGACAGAAGACCAGAAGGTAGCATCCTACTACAGACAAAGCCTGCAAATCCCTACAGAGTTTTCAGGGACTGGAGCTCGTGCTCGCAAGGCACTACCAGAAACACAGTCGGAATTCAGGACAGCCAACCCAGGCAGCAACACTCACTTGCCCATCAACTGCCTGTAGACACCAACTCTCCTCCTGCCTGCAATGCCTTTGCTCCCACTTGGCTCCTACTGGCTACTGTCCAAGCTTTACCTGCAAAGCTCCAGCAAGCTAAGGGTGTGCTCCAACTGCAGAAAACAGTAGAGCACTCACACCCACCTTTCAGTAGCAGGCAACACATCCAGCTCCCTGGCTATAGGGTGACCTGAATTTATGGACCAGTGATCCCACTGGGAAGAGAAGAGCCCATGGGCTGCGTTACAGAACAGGAGATGCTGAGCTACCTGCCTACAATGGTGTCTGAAGGGAGGAAGGGGCAAAGCCTGCCTCTGCAAGGTCTGCATTACTAGGCTCAGGTCCCATCATACCTTTCCAAACGTTCGGACACCAGGTACGTCTGGTTGGCATCCATGATGAACGTCAGTTGATAAATGAGGTCATCAGCCTGGATGAGGCCTTCTAGACGTCCAACTACTGTCATTCTGCGATCCTTCAGCATAATCACAGCCAGGAATGGGTATGTGTTCTCTCGCAGAGCCTGGGAGACTAGGAAAGAGGCACAAACATCACCATAACTGCCCCAATCCAGAAGGGTCAACAAGAGGCACAACAGCACAAACCCTTTCCATCACCAAAGGCACAGGGAATAAGCCTCCACAGCCATGATCTCTTCTAAGGCAGAAAAGGCCTCAGGCTCCATTTTGTCAAACTGAACCCTAAAAATTAGCAAAGGGAGGAAGTGGCTTGGAACAGAGACACTGAGGGGAAAAAGCAAGCTTTCAAGTAATGAAAAAGGTTCTTTAATTCAAGCAGGAAGGAATTGCTCTGAATGTCCATTCAGAATGGGACAAAACACACCCTCCTGGCTTTAAACTGCAGGAAAAGAAACACGGGTCAAGCACAGGGAACCAGTTCCTAAGATGATTAAGGATGGCGGGATTCTGGAAGATACCATCATGGGGAAGATACCAGAGGGTCTATCCTGGACATTCCTGAAAATTAGGTTGTCTCTGCCAGAAGCAGGTTCTGTCTTGAGGCAGGGAATGAAGCAGATCAGGGTTTTTTAAATTACTGTTCACCTATGGCTGCTGACCACCTCAAAACATGCATGGCACATCATGCAACTTGGAGCCATCGCTACCAAAGGAGCCCTCCAAACTAAATCAGAGCACTCTGTGGATTAAACGGATGGTCACAGTCCCTTCCAGCTCTGCTTTCTAGGCTGTGACTCCAAAGCACTGCAGCAAGGAAACAGCAGTAAACTACAAGAAGATCTCCTTAGGAAGCCATTCTTTCAAGGTGTTAACAGCTGGTAGCCAAACTATGAAGCCAAGAATGACCCATATTTAGTACCAAAACTCCTGGTCTCTCCTGCCATGAAACAGGAGGGGTCAGAAGTGATAAAGGTGGCATGAACGGGACCTTGGAAAAAGGCTCTATGTGCAAACCCCTACCCAAAATGCTGACAGGCCAAGTATCAACAGCTCTGGAAAGACAGTACTTAAAAGGACCTCACTGTGGACTTTCGAGGAGACAGTGAGACTGGGTGTGGAGTAAACATGACTGTCTCT